CAGCTACGTTCAGCTGTTTTCAGCTTTCCCTTCCCCCACAGGCACAACTGCATGACCAGGAGTTTCAGGTAAGCTGGCAGTACTGCCCTACTCAAAAATATTACAAATACTCACTCTTCTTGGAGTGCTGGCTTCATCATGCTTCTGAACATTAAGGAGTTCTATCAATAGCATAGGGTATAGCCAATATCTTAAAGAATATCATTTACTTTTCAAAAAAGCCATTATGTCATGTAAACTCAAAAGGTAAATCCATTATAGAGTACACTATATAATGAAGATTATGGTACAAGACTGGGCAACATTTAGTCCTATTGTATATAAGGTCACCATGAGTTGGAACTGATTCAACAGCAACTAACAACAAGGAATGTTGTATATGGAATCAGAAATATGACAGTAATATCCTTAAAGAAAGCCTTTTATTTTTGTAAAAAGCAGGTCATTGGCAAATGTTTTTTAAATTGTTGAACTAATTACTACATCTCATGAAAAAATTGAGTTTTGAACAAGAGTGCTGGCAGTTATTTGAAATCCAAGAAGCTAAGTCATCAAAGGTGAATTACTTCTGTCCTGGAATAGTCCACAAGTTTTTCTCATCAAGGATGGTAAAACTACATGGGAAAAGGTTCTGACTTCTGGTAAGATAACAGTATAGGCAGAAAAGCTACACAGACTCTCTTTCAAAAAGAAAAGAGAAACCAATTAATAGAGATACAGAAGGTAATCCTGGAGCCCTGAGCTTTGAAAGGAAGTATACGGAAGTGGATTAGGCACCAACTAGTGGAAAAACCTGAATGAAAACAGTGAGTATGGAGATGGATGGAGCTGTGGACTGTCAGCTACTGTGACGGCACCAACAGCCTGAATATTTCTAAGTGGTGTTGGGACCTGAGATTTGATCTAAAGATCAGCTCTGGTCACCAAGGGCTGCAGGACAACTGCACTGGTAGCCTATGACTAGGAAGGGAAACAGCAAGGAGGGAGACAACCTGAGCTGTGGACTTTCAGCTGTCCAGAGGGAGAAGCCATTTAGATTGTTTACAAGCTGTGGCCATTTTGGAGATTTAAAGTGACCAAGGATGCAGCCATTTTGAATGTTTATAAGCAGCAGCCATTTTGAATGTTTATAAGCAGCAACCTTTTTGGATATTTAAAGTGACCAAGGGGACAGCATTTTGAATGTTTACAAGCAGTGGCCATTTTGGATATTTAAATTGACAGCATTCTCATACAGATTCTGGGGACCTAAGAATAGGCTCCATTGGCCAAGGACAGCAGGGACATACAGGAGACTGACAACAGGAAAGGAGACAGGGGGTGAGTGTGTAAGTGCTGCCAACTAGCGAATAGAGGAAACAGTACCCTGCTTACATAGATAACATCCAAACAAAACAAAAATTGTGGGCAAGTCACTCCAACATACAATCACCAATTAAATACACAGACAAAAATGTCACAATGTTTCAGAGACAACAGAGCATCACAGTCTACAGAAAGAAGCAAGATAAAAGAAGAGAAACAAGGGATTCAGATACAGATCCAGAACACATCTCCAAGGAGGAAGCAGCATTGGAACTTCCTGATAAGGTATTCAAAAGAACTTTATTTAGATACCTTGAATGGACTGAGAGATAGATCAAGGAAAATACTGACAAAATTGAGGAAAACACAGAGAAACCCCTAGAACAATTTCAAAAGACAATACAAGAATAAAATGAAAAAAAAAAATGAAAAATTAGAAATGATACAAAATCTACAGATAGAAATACAGCAGATTAATACTAAATTTTCAGAAGTAGATAACACATTGAATGGACAAAGGAGTAGAATTGAATCCATGGAAGACAGAATTAGTGACACCGAAGACAAACAGCTTAATACTTTTTTAGAAAGTGATCAATCAGAAAAAAGATCAAAACAAAATGAAGAAAGCCTAAGGATCATTTGGGATGCCATCAAAAGGAATAACATGTTTAATCAGAATTCCAGAACAGGAAAAGACAAATAAAATCACAGAGAAAATTGTCAAAGATGTGTTGGAAGAGAATTTCCTGGTATGATGAAAGATGAGAATATATCCATTCAAGAAGTCCAATGAACCCCAAACAGGATAGACCCCAAAAGAAAATCACTAAGACATATCATCATCAAACTGACCAAAACCAAAGATAAAGAAAGAATTCTAAAAGCAGCATGGGAAAAACAAAAAGTTACCTACAAGGGGCAACCAATAAGATTAAACTCAGACTTCTCGGCATAAACCATGCAAGCAAGAAGACAATGGGATAGTATATGTAAAACTTCGAAAGAAAAAAATTTCCAACCAAGAATTATATACCCAGCGAAACTGTCCCTCAAATATGATGGTGGAATTAGGATATTTCCAGATAAGCAGAAATTAAGGGAATCTGTTAAAGCCAGACCAACCTTAAAAGGGATGCAAAAGGGAGTCTTTTGGACAGAGAACCAACAACAGCAAACAACAACTGCTCATTAACACACATGATGACATAAACCAGTAACCAACCCAGTTATGGAAGTATCCAAAGTAAATAAGCCTACAAAATTGTAAATAGGAAACCAGAGA